AGACCTTCTGATAGCTATTGGTGATATCTGTCATCCTTTTCAAGTCAGGAATATCTGGTCTTCTGAAAAACAGAATAATGTGACAAATTATACCATGTTCACATTTGAGGTGTAGATATAAATGTAGACATAGATATTTCTTACTTGATTGGAGGATTTTGCAATTCCAGTTGTTTTACGTCACATCCAATGATATTCAAGTTGTTATCCTTTAGAACTACATGTTCAAGACAGAGGACAGGTGGAAACATCTTCATGAAAAATGTCAACATCCCAAATTTTGGTTGATATCTCACCAATAATTATTTTCACCTATTCAATGCAAAAGCCGTTACAACCCTCAGTTAAATCTTTATCTAAAATATAAAATTCAAAGATATTTCTAACACTTCATATTCACTTTAAGTAATACGTTGTTAATTTATAACAGGGTGTGTAAAGCAAGTTGAAAGGCTCTTTTATCATCTTTTTTACAAGTGTCCTTGTAAACATTCCTGACGTGTGATATTTACTCTATCACCTGTCAGTGAGGCTAACTCTCAACATTTTTTAACCGTTCTAAAAATTGTGGTTCACTAACGGATTTTAAGCAATGATTTTCATGTGCAAATTGTTTTCTTTATTTGTGATATTAATTGTCATCACTGTACTACACTTATTCACAATGTTTGGTGTTTTCCCAAAGCGCCACATTAACATTTTTTTTAAAAACACATTACAAAGAAAACGTGAATAGTTTTAAGAAATAAAACAGAATTATAGAATAAAATAGAATATAAAAATTAACAATTAAGCACATTATATATTCCATGGGAGTATGCAATTGAATGACAATGCATTAAATTAAAGTGTTTTTCCAGACCTTTACAAAATGCCCTAAAGTGTTACAGGTAAAAATACTGAAATACATGTATATTCAATTTTTGTAGTATTTATAAACAGTCATCTGCCATTTTAGGAAAGTTATTTTAGGGGAGAGTGAAATCATTAAATGACCCTTACCATGTAGTAACTCTCCAAGAACCTGGTGATGGCTATGTGAACAATCATGAAGATTCAACTCGTAGATCAGGACGGGCAAGTTCCCCACAAATGTCTAATATGCAACAAAATATGCAAATGACTGCATTGTTGTGGGGATGTGAAACATCAAATAAAAAGTTTAATTAAAGAATATTCTGAGTACCTGCAAGTTCCTCAACTCCTGGGCCAAATTTTCTGAGGCACAGTTATGTTCAATGTGCACTGACAAGAAGTCCACCTGTTCAGAATAAGACATAAATAATGTATCCAGTCTTTTTTGTATGCTTGCGTTTTGTTTTGAGGTCTTCAGTATTTCAAATGACATTAACTGAAGTCATGGTAGATTATTTACGTACATTATCAAATTATTTATAATTAAAATAATGCCTGTTAAAGAGAAATTTAGAATGTGTTAGCTAAAAGTTTCTCCACAATGAGAAATATTTTCTCCTGTTTTTGGTATATTTACACTTAGTAATTAATCAGATCTCCGTAATGCAGACAAGTTCAATTCAATTCAATTTCAATACAACTGAATGTAAAGGCAAGTCCAAGTTACACCTGGCTCTAAAGCTGTAAAGTTGTGTACATATATCTTATATTTGTAGCGACACCCTGACTCCAAGATTAGATATGATATACAATCTATGGATTAAAGGTCCAATTTAACCTAATAACAGAGTTAATTAAACGTTTTGAGATAAACAAGTTACGCCTGGCTCTAAAGCTGTAAAGTTGTGTATATCTTATATTTGTAGCACCACCCTGACTCCAAGATTATATATGATATACGATCTATGGATTAAAGGTCTAATTTAACCTAATAACAGAGTTAATTTATAAGTCAATTTCTCCCTGGAGATCAATAAAGTATATTCAATCAATTCAATTCAATTAAACTTTTTTGTGATCAACTTAGAACTGGTTCATTCTATAGTGCTGAAGTGATTAGATGGCAAAAATCAAATCAATAGAGCACCAGAAATAGTCTGTAATCCTGTTATCAGTAGTCCTGTTGTGGCTGAGAATAACCCTCTCTTTCTTACAACTTTCTATTAAACTTTCAATTCCCTCGATGTTTATTTAGAGTAAATGTGCAATGTTTAAAGTAAATATCCAATCTTTTTTTCATTGTGGTTTAGTGCTTGAAAATTTTTAGTCACTTTAAAAATAAAGAATTTCAATGGCATGTAAACCTGAATAATAGAAGAAGAAGATAATGCTTACGGTTGTTGAAGCTTTGATTTGGGAAAGTGTGACAGCATCTTTTCCTTTTAGCCCAAGTGACAGATGTCTCCCTGGAAATGCAGAGAAATTAAACTCTTACAGAAGATATTACAAAATGCAAAAAAGCAGTATATTAACAATCTTAACGGTAGAAAGATACTGAAATTATGAAAATACAAATTTGATCCAACTTTAAAAGTCTAAAAAGGAATAATGGCAACATCATTTAGATAAATGACTTGATTTCTCTTACCTTTTCCAGGAAAGCGTTGATGGTAGATCTGATGAATATTCTTGTTCAGCTCGAGGATATTTTGCAGAAGACTCGGAGCATTCACCGCCTCATTCCAGACATCACCCAAGTCACTCAGTATTACCCATGAGCGTGCCAGAGCTCCAAACTCCTGGAACGCAAACTCGGCATATTGCTGGAAGGCTTCTAAAAGCCTCTCACTCTCCCAGCCTCCAAACTTTGACTTTAGAGATTCTGGAACTGTTGATCCATGAAGGATGAGGAGAGGCTGAAGGTCCACATCCAGCAGTTGCTTCAGCAAGGCCTGATAACACTTGACCACAGCTTGCTGTGAATGGCTGGGGTGACCTGTGGGGACGAGTTGAGCCCATGAGAGAGGAACTTTAAAATGGGTCACCCCTATGCTGTGGAGATGCTCAAAGTACTGTTTAGAACCAGGAGGTAAGGGGTGACTGCAGTCAAAGGCATCATTCCCCAACTGCACTGTTAGAGGACCTTCAAGAAGCATAAAGTCATCTTGTCCATTTGCCCCGTTCCTACCACCACTGTACAGGCACAAAATGTGCAAACACAAAACCCACAACAGCTTTTTCATTGTGGCATGAAAAAGCACTGACACTCTCCACTGGCTGCAACGCTTTTAAAGCAGTGATGTTGAACTCACATAAAATGGTTACACAACTGAGATCAATATGACATCTGGTTATTGGAAGATAAATTGTTTTACTGCAGCTGTGCAATCCAGTCATAAAGTCTCTGGACCAATGACAGTGAAAAATGAGTCATCAAATACTTACGTCTGAAGAAACCTGGAATGTGCAGAATCATTATTACCCTTATGGAAAAAAACAACTTTATGACTGCTTACACGTGTGTCCCTGTTGCTGTGAACTAAAGCATTAAAAAGTTTAGTACACTGAATCTTCACAAAAATATTATCACAGTCCTACTATTCCACCGCTTTAACTGCACAAACATCCACATCCACATTAAATTAATTTAGAACCTTTGGATAAAAAACACAAAATGTGTTTAGCAGCATACCATGTCAAAAGAGCAATTGGTACTAAAGAACAATAAATGAAGTCAATAGGAACTCAAAGCTCTCTGCATATTAGACTAACAACATGCAACACAACTTGCAAACTTTCCCTCCATTTGGGGCCAAAAAGAAAAGATGTTTTGAACCACAGCAGTAATACCAGTTTTTCTTCATTTATGGAAGCCAAATAACGTGCATACAAAAAAGATGGCAACCGTTAAGTTAAAAACAAAATACTGGGTCTACTGGGTCTAATCCTGTACCACATCCGTAACTAGATACTATGATCTAATCTTTAATTTTACACATGTTGTAAACTAAAGTCTGAATATGCTTTATTTGGCTTGTTATGAACTATGTACTCTGTATTCATATATACTAGGTGTTTTGGCACCATACGTGAATTAGATAAAGGTCTTCCTAGTGATTTACAACATCTCAAAGGTCATTATGCAGCAGATTATTAGGATTATCTGATACAGGGGACAGATAATGTCCCAAAGGTAAGTTATTGAAAGGAAATATGTAGAGATACAGAAGAAGAAAAATCTAATCAGACTAGTTTCTCTAATTTGTCACTTTCCTTATGCTTGATGTGTTTTTGCTCTTATGAATGATGTTACTCATGTAACCACACTGACTAGATAGGTAGTTCGAGTCACTGATTATATGTTTTATCATTTCCGACACCTTCTTCTGTCCATTTTATTGGGTATTTTATTGGGAATTTCTTTGATGGCATAACAGCTTTCATAACTGTTTATTATGTGTTGGACGGGTATGATGAGATGGATTATCAAGCATATCTAATGAGTAGGAAAGGTGATGAACTCTCACTCTAATATCTACAATAACTGATTTATACCTGATCAAATTTACCGAAAAGAACTTGAAGTCTTTGGGGTAGACGCTATAGAAACTCTGACCATTTGTGACATTCACCTTCACAGAACACTGACAATCAAGCAAACACTTTTTTCAGTATTAATTTAACTTATTTTGAAACAACTCCTGGATTTCCATCGTACTGCCAGCTCTGCCAGTACTTTTCCTGGGTCACAAACAGGGTGTGCGTGGCTTGAGTGCAGGAGGCCTGTTTTCTGCATTCTATAGGTGTAAATAATCTTGGTCTTGGATAGGGTGCAAATAGCTGTGTCGTCCACAACCCTCACAATCACACAGCTCAGATGTTTTGTTGAGCAGTCGTGAGTGAGCAGGGTGAACAGGAGGAGGCCCGGGGGATGCTGGTTCAGGAGAAAATATCAGGGATCCTCACAGAAAAAGGATGCAGCTCAGTCCGAGCTTGTTTATTTTTATCAGGATCCGTGGTATAATTGTATTTAATGCTTATGTGAAGTCCACAAACAAAAGCAACATAATCCTTGTTCTCTAAATGGGTGAAGGCTGTTTGAACCCCAGAGGCTATGTTGTCCTCAGTTCTTCAAGTGTGTTTATTAGCGTGGGTCTACGGTGACGCTGATAAAGTTTTGTAAGTGAGGCATGACCAGTCCCTCAAAGCAGTACATGACAATTAAGGTTCCCAGGCCACATGGGACATATGATCCCTCAATTTAGTCCTGTCCTGGAGATTTTTCTCTTTTGGTTCTTTAAAGGTACCTGGTTGCTAATTCCTTTAGGGAGAGTCGTTTCGCATGTCTGGCGACTGTGGTTTTAGCACCAGTAGGAGATGCAACAATTTCCATAATCCCATCAAGGATGAATCCCCTATTCCTGTGTTTATCATTGAAATTGTATGACTTGCCCTTTGTGCCATCCTCGCCCATCTCCTGAGAAGATTCTCCTTTTGATCAATCCACATGGGGGCCCCTTCCTGTCTCCTAACAAAATGCATAGCCCTGTCCTTTTGGAGATTCTCCATGGGACTTCCTTGAGGACTGAGATGTAAATAAGAATCTCTTTGTTGCTGATAAGAAACAGTGGCCTTTTCCTTTCCTTTATCCATACAATGTTATATAAGGGGACTGCCTTTCCATCGGCACGCATTCACTTGAGTTTACTCTTGTGATCTGCGTCTTCGAACGCTGTTGCCTTTGAAGAAAACACTTTTATTGGAGAAGATCGATCTCTAATTATTAAGAAACTTTGCCTTACTAATTTAAATAACTTTTTCCATAACAATTTGGCGTTGTTGGCAGGATCCAACGAGCAGGACCACGCGGAACACGAGGGAAGCCGACCAAGCCGAAGAATTTAACTTCAGTCCTCCTTAATTAGAAAAGAAAGGAGGAACCTGAATCTCACCCTCTGCGTCTACAGCCGCCTGGATCAACAAAGAGGTTTTACATCTTTATCGGGTGAGATATTGTTTCTTAAGAGAAAAAAAAATAAAACTAAAATACGGAAAAACTAAAAACATGCATGTCCTGCAACGTTGTGCTTCATGGGTAAGAACTGAGCCAAGACAGAACAATCATCTATCATACACTTAGAGGCACAAACACCTGTGGGGACTTAAACTCATATGCAATCTGCCGCATATAAAACTATGCCAAGGTTAACGTTAACAATTTGTGGTCAAAAGGTTTAGTTCATGGTTGATTCTGGGGCTATTCATTGGGTTTTAACTTGGTGTAGTTTAAGCCCTCTCCTAAGACTGAGTGGTTGGCTTGTTTGTTCTATTTCTGCTTCTGGAACCATGGTTAAAAAACCTTTTCATGTTCCACTCATGTGTAAAACAAAAACTGGAGTTCATTTGAAGCATTAATTTTTGCTGTCCAAGCACTGTCCGGTAAATCTGTAAAGGGAGATATTTGATGTGTGCTCTTGCTATCTGTTTGGTATCAATTACAGAGGGGCTAACTGCTTTTAGCAATGCCACTGGTAATCACAGTGAGGCTGCTGTTTTGTTTTCCCCTACAGCATTGTTGTATGCTTATCAGTGGAAGCTATCACATAGTCCTCTTTCAGCTCCCTTAGTAAAAATGGTGAGAGGATTTATGTCTCCTGAGGATTTGCACTGCACATCCTATTCTTCTGAAGGACCAGATCATGAGTATGAGGGATATTGGTATCATGATCACTCTGATAAACTTGCCACAACTTCTTTTTCTTTTTTTTTGGAATACATACTTTTAAGCATTCTCTGTCTCTCACTGCTGCCCTGTCAGCACTTTATCAGATGGAGGATGCTTGTCCACATCTGCCTTTAGCAAAATCCTCTGACATGCAGTGGCATGATTTGGGTCAGTTTGTTTGCTGTCTTTCTGTTGAGGACTGGCAGGCCACAGCCACCTCTGAAGTTTTCTTTTTACCCTCCACACAGACTTTTAACTGGGTTTTTATTTCCTCATTTCATTGCACTCGCATTGCTCATCTGTTGGAGAACAATTCTGTTTTTGTCTCTCTGCCTGCAGAATCACTCTGTGAGAAGTTGAGGGCAGTACCACCTGATTTATGGTAATCGCATAGATATAATGTGGGTCTTATAAAGGACTGTGAGCCTGTGGTCATAACACCCAGATCTGACTCCAGACCAAGCCAAAAACAATATCCTCTTAAAAGATAGGCGATTGAGGGTATTCACCCAGTTTTTCTGTCACTGAGACACTCTGGTGTCATTGTTCCTTGCCCATCCTGTGCGCACACTTCTTTTCCCAGTGAAAAAGATTAGACTCGGGGACGCCTGATGAGTGGAGCTTTTTCAGGACCTCCAAGGTGTAAACAAAGCTGTGTTCCCAATAACTCCCCCTGTACCTTTTCCTCACTCAATTTCATCTCAGATTCCCTCTGATTCTATGTTTTTCTCTGTGGACGACCTTTTCTTTTTTTCTGTTCCTGTACATCCTGACAGTCAGTATTGGTTTGCATTTGAGTTTGAAGTTAAACCTTACACGTTCACCAGACTCTGTCAGGGTTATCGTGAGAGCCCTAACATTTATAATGCAGCCCTACAGGCTTCATTAGACAACTTGACTTTGACTGACAACTCTGTGCCTTCACAATACTTGGATGACCTGCTTGTGTACGCTCCTACAAAGGAGCAATGTACCACTAACCCGGTGAAACTTTTTGAACATATTCATGCCAAAGCTGAGGATGGCGACCTTCATGTCTGTTCTGTTAACTTGCAAACAGTTTGTATTCCTAGGCCTCATCTTTGGGATTTTCTTCTCACTAACTCAGTTCTAACTCTTTATGTTGTTGGTTCTTCCCATCGCTCTGACTTGGGGACCAAACAAGTGGGCTTTGCTTTGTGTTGTGATTTTTGGGTTGTCTGTTCTGGCTCTGGAAGGTTGCTTTGGTCTTGCTGAGACTGCAGCTCAACACTGGATGGCTGGTTTTCTGAGGATGGCAGACCCTGTCTTCCTAAACATTTCTTTGGTTTGCTAAGTGGAGCCATGGGTTAGACCATGTCTCAAAAGGGGGAATGCTACAATCAGTTTTAAGACATTGGTTTACAAAAGGTTTTACCATCGTGGCAGAAAACTTCTGCAAAAAACATCTGGTTTGTGCCTCCCACAACCCAGGCTGAGCGCAGTCAGTTGTTCAAGCAGCACACCCACCACCAGAGTACCCATTTCAACACCTGAAGATGGATTTAATTGAACTAATTCATCTGAAGGGAAAAAGTATTGTCTTGTGATGGTTGACATGTTTTTTCAAAATGGGTAGAAGCGTTTCCCACTAAACATGCAGACGGTAGCAAAAGCTCTTTTGACATAAATTTTGGATGACCAATCCCCATGGGAGGGGAACCGAGTCAGATGTCTACTGTATTGCCTACTGGTCTGATTGAACATGATGCTTTTTTGCCAAAACCTTTCAAGTACTCTGTCTTTGTCTTCTACAGGGAGGAGCTGTGAAAGCTGCTCTCCCGCCTGCTGCATCAGGACGTCTCCATTTGTTCCAGCCAGGCCAGTGTATCAGAGATCAGAGATCTGCGACGCAAACATTGGAAGTCTCAGATGTGGCAAGGACCTTTCCAGATTCTCCTTGTGACCCATACCGCCGTGAAGGTTGCTGAGCGCTCTATCTGGATTCACGCCAACCACTGCAGACCATTTACCAGAGAACTTCCAACTACCACACAGGAACAACATGGCTAATCCACTAATGCGATGGGTCGCTGCACTTGGGATTTTCCTTTGCGCAGGATTCCTCGCCCACCAGCTGAAGACACCAATCAACGCAAGGAACAAAAGATTTGCCAGCAGCGCCACTGACATTAACCCCCTTAGAGCCCCGTGGATTGGAAAAAACTTGTGGTACCAGTTCGCTAACTTCTCGGCAAGAACCGTGTCCTCCAAGAGCTGTGTTATTTGCCTATCTTCACGGATCCCTTCTGAATATGTGGCTGTGCCTGGTGAAGATAAAATCACTGACTGTATTAGCTCCTGTTACAACAACTCTAGAAAGCTCGAGATCAACCCCTCTGAAAATATGACAGATTTTGGATTTCAAATGATTAACTTGACCCATAATGGACTTTCATGCTCTGTGTGTGCACTTCATTGCTCTTTGCAAGTGATGTCTGTTCCTCCCGGAGGGGGTAATATTTGGAGCTCCTATTGTCAGGTATCTGAATCCCAAGATCTTCCTGTTCCACACACTGTCACTCCTGCACCTGGGGCCAATTTTACATGCTACAATTTTACACGTGAGGGTAAAAATGTGGGTCGTTTTAAGGGAAACTGTTCACGTATTATACAGGTTCATGATTTGGGAAAGTGTTCAACTGCAGCAAAAGGGGGTTTGTGGGTGGCTGAAGATGTGTACATTCCTGCTGTTAATTGGACTTGTGAAACTGAACGGAACATTCGCTCTGCCCTCACTCGTATCGTTAAACCTGCTCAAGATTCTTATTGGATTTGTGGGGATGGTCGCCTTAAGCGTCTTCTCCCTACCAACTGGACAGGCATGTGTGCGCATGTAATGTTAGCCACCTTCACTCAACTAGCTCTTGATCCATTTTCTCATTCTTATAGTAATTTACGAACCAAGAGATCAACACCTAAAGCCAGCTTTGAGAGTCAGATATCCATAGATGCGGTAGGAGTTCCCAGAGGCGTTCCAGATGAGTTTAAAGCTAGAAACCAAATTGCAGCTGGTTTGGAGTCCATTTTTCTCTGGCCCTCAATTAACAAAAATGTGGATTGGATTAATTATTTGTTTTATAATCAACAAAGATTCATTAATTTTACACATGACGCCCGGTTTGGTGTGGCTGAACAACTTTCGGCAACCTCCCTAAAAGCCTGGCAAAATTGGATGACCGTAGACATGCTCTTTGCGGAGAGAGGAGGGGTGTGTGCTCTGTTTGGGGATACGTGTTGTACTTTCATTCCTGATAACACGGCCCCAGATGGCTACATCTCTAAAGCTCTGGAAGGTTTGCACTCCCTTAGACAGGAGTTACCTGAACATTCAGGAGATGACACTTCATTGTGGGGATGGTTTGATTCTTTCCTTGGAAAATGGAAGGAATTGGGTATATATGTGTTTTGTGCTTTCATTGCTGTTATGGGAGCTTTAGCCTTGTGTGGTTGCTGGATTATTCCTTGTGTTCTGGGCCTGATGATTCGCTCTATAGAACATGGGATTGAACATCACATGCTCTCCCTCTCCGTGACCCCATCTTGTGAACAGATTGATGATGATGAGGAGGTTAAATTCTTTATTGATTGAGGACAACCCTTTTATGATACACCGGTTCTAAAGTATTTGACATTGCCATCGGTTGATTTTTGTTCTGGTTTTTTCTTTGTGTGGTATTGTTTCTTTTCCTATTCATGCTTTGTATGATTATCTGATAATAAAAAGGAGGGAGTGTCCTGGAGATTTTTCTCTTTTGGTTCTTTGTTAAGGGTACCTGGTTGTTAATTCCTTTAGGGAGAATCGTTTAGCATGTCTGGCGACTGTGGTTTTAGCACCATTAGGAAATGCAACAATTTCCATAATCCCATCAAGGATGAATCTCCCTTTCCAGTGTTTATTATTGAAATTGTATGACTTGCCCTTTTTGCCATCCACACTCATCTCCTGAGAAGATTCTCATTTTGATCAATCCACGTTGGGGCCCCTTCCTGTCTCCTGACAATATGCAAAGCCCTGTGGGGGGGACGAGCCTTTCCATCGGCACGCATTCACTTGAGTTTACTGTGATCTGCATCTTCGAACGCTGTTGCCTTTGAATAAAACACCTTTACTGGACAAGATCAATCTTCTCAAATTATTAAGAAACTTTGCCTCACTCATTTAAAGTACTTTTTCCATAACAGTCCTGGGTCTACCCAGGGTCCTCTCCTAGTTTGATGTTTCCAGAATATCTGCATGGGGAGGCAACTTGGAGGCATCCTAAATGTTGCCATACATGAAGTTTTAAACAATGATGGATCAGTAAATTGAGAGCTTTGTCCTCTGTCTTAGTTCCTTCTTCATCACGACAGACAGGAGCATAGCTCTGATTGCATCTTACGAAGACCCAATCCATCTGTCCATCTCCAGCGCTAACCTGCAATCACTCGAAAACAAGACACCCAGATACTAAAACTCCACCTGGGACAATCACTCATCCCCAACTCAGAGATAGATAATTCCACCTTTTCCTGGCTATGAACCATGGCCTGAGATTTGGAACAGCTGACCGGCATCCTGGCTGCTTCATACTTACCCAGTTACTCAAACTTACACCTTAAAGTTTCGCCGTCTAGGTTGCCCACAATACATCCCACAATGTCCTTGTTTTTTAGAGATATAGCAGTTGATTGTATGGTTTTGTTGTTTTCATGTTTTCTTTCTCTCTCTGTCTAAACTTTAAACAGAGAGAGAAAAAATCTTAGGGGGTCCGTGGAGGTACTGCATGGGGGTCGCGAAAGTTTTGGTTGATTAGACTTTTTAAAATATTTTCCCACTAATTGAAATGTCTTTAAACATATTAATATGATTCAACACACTGTAATAAACAGATAAATGGAGGCAGAAGATGTCTTTCAGTCATCAATGCACACATTCAGCGACAAACAGGAGGTCTTTAAAGCTGGGCACTGAATCTGAATCAGAAATACTTTAATAATCCCAGGGCGAAATTACTTTCGTTACATTACTCCATATGTAATGCCCCTATGCAGCCATGTCTCAGTGAATCAGATAAACTCCCAGTTCTCTGCGGAGCTCCACGTTAATGCCGTTGGTCGTTTATCTTGTTGCTATGGAGACCGTACATTCACCATAACAACAGAGGAAAGACTCCGCTTCAGTCTTCTCCTCCATAAACCCGTCCCGTCCCCGCCTTCCTCTCTTCCCCCAACGTTGCTTCCCTCCCCTGCATTCCAGTGACTTTTGTCTAGAGTTCAGGTGGTCAATCGGCTCTGTCACCTATACTGGCCAGCATTGGTGCCATCAGCTGTTCTCCGGAGTAAACAACTGCAGCGTGTAGAAGCGGCATTAAACCAACACAAACACCCTCTCAAAGAACAAATTTAGAGAGGGCAGGACTTTACATAGTTGCAGTGAACAAATAAGAAGGAACAAAAAGAGAATGTAAGATGAGAAGTTTAAAAAAGCAAACTCAAAGGCTGTAACAGGCAGCTTGCAACTTTCCCGCCCTTATCGCTGCTCTACCAATCATGAGGCTGTATGTCACATGCTGGCTCTGTCAGGTTCCCCGTGATTGACCTAGAGTCCACTCTTATTATGCTAGCAGCTAGTGCTTATGTTTGGATTTAAAAAAATGTTTCTGTCAGTGGCACAGTAATACTTGCACTTTGAGCTCCAAAAGTTAATTATTATTTACAAATATTTTCTGACACTCCTTTGAGTTTTTAACCATTTCTGATTTAAAAACAAACCAAGAAACAGTGTGCATCTTCTTGATTTAGATAATTCAGTGTTTAAAATTATAACAAGAGGAGACTTCTGGTGGCGCTATGCTGTAGAAGACAGGAGAAAATGCTGCTCTGAGGAACACGACTAAAACTAGCATTAAAATAAGGTAAAAACAGTGGAATTCTAAGAAAATCCGCTCTTAAAGTGTTATAGAACATCCATGGAAAATATGGTTAAGAAAGGAAAGAATACGGAAGAGAAAGGCGCAAAAGAAAAGAGTACCGGAATGGCGAAAGTGCAGAGCCAGGAGGCGGAGCAATCGGATTCGCCAAACGATGACCGTGACTCGACCATACTTCATGAGCTAAGGGGGCTGCGAAAAGAATATGCGGAAGCGGTATCAGACAACAAGAGAGCACTGGCTAGACTTGAGGTGAGCATTGGAGAGCTCATGGTCAGGACAACGTCCCTGGAGCAGAAGGTGGTTCACATGGAGGAAAGATTGGGAAATAATGAAGACAAGATGACACGGATGCAGCGGGCGGCGACATTTTTGCTACGGGAAACGACTATACTATCAGAAAAATGCAATGACTTGGAGTCGAGAATGAGGCGCAACAACATAAGAATAGGCTACATGGCATTCCCAAGGGTGCAGAGAAAAACAACACCATTAGCTTCATAGCACAATTTATTAAATCCCAGATTCAAATCACACAAGGGATGGACTTGTGTATTGAAAGAGCACACCGCTCACTGGTGAACAAACCAAAGGACAGCACGGTCCCCCCGAGAGCGATCATAGTACGCTTCTTGGATTATAAGATGAAGGAACAAGTGATAAAGCAAGCCTGGAAACAGAAGATTTGCTATGAAGGGCAGTCTGTTTATTTCAATCAAGACTACACAACGGAGGTCCAAAAGAAAAGAAAACAGGTCAGGGAAGTCATCAAACAACTGAAGGAAAGGAATGTGAAGGCGCAGTCTCCCTATCCGGCCCAACTGAAAGTGTTTTTGGACACCGGAAAAAAGACATTCAGCAAAGTGGAGGAAGCGGCGCCTATGCTGAAGGAGATGGGTATCACGGTGAAGGAGGACAGACTGGAGAGAATTCAACATTTGATGACGCAGAAGGTAAAGGGGACCGGACACGGGGGCAAAAAGAGACAGCCCCAAATGACAGAGGCGGATCTGAGGGCAGTCCTGGAGTGATGACGTCATCTGCAGTGACACCGTGACAGCCGTTAACTTACGTATGTAGACATACATGCATGTCTCTATAGAGAGCTTAATGGTCACGATATGCAAAGGAAGGAGGGGTTAGTCGTAAATAATAAAAATAATAAATAAATAAAATAAATAAATAAATAAATTTAAAAAAACAAATAAAAAAAACGCTAGTTGTAAAGTAATGTACTAAATTATAAGAAAATTGTGTTCATTAGGGAGTAGTAGCAAGGAGTTTTGAGTCTTTAGGACTTTAGACAACTATTAGGAAGTTGTCAAAGAACACAGTGCTTGTTCATTGGGGAGAAGGCCACAGCTCTCTGATGCTGAGACTCTTGGAAGACTTTTGTTCGAGTTAAAATCTTTGTTTGGGGGTTCCTGTCCCAATAAGTGTGTTTGTACTTAGTTTCTGTTTACCCTTTTCAATTGAGTTTTGTTATGTGTAGCATATTTTTCTTTTCAAAGAGGTGTCAGGTACAACGCAGCTCCAGAAATGGTAATAATATGAGTGATTTAAATATAGTATCCTATAATGTTCATGGCCTGAACCATCCTATTAAACGAAAGAAGATTTTGACCCAAATAAAAAATGTACACTGCTCAATAGCTTTATTACAGGAGACACACCTAACAGAGAATGAACACAATAAGCTAAAAAGGGAGTGGGTAAGTCAGGCATTTTATGCCTCATTTGGAAAAAGGAGAGGGGTAGCAATTCTAATAAAGAAAGGGATACCGTTTGACGTTGAAAAAGAAGTAAAGGACAACGAAGGAAGATATATAATGATCGTAGGACGATTAGGAGATATGACAATCTCAGTAATGAATGTATATTTCCCAAACGAGGAGAAAGTCACTTTCTTGAACCAAATAGTCAGGATAATAACCAATGATGCAAAAGGATTGATACTGATGGGGGGAGACTTTAATACGGTTAAGAAGAATATTTTAGATAGATATCCTTCGGATTATGGACCACTGACAACAAAATCTAGAATGTTAAATAATATTACCAAAGAGCTTGGTCTTATTGATGTTTGGAGAAATATCAACCCCAAGAAAAGAGACTACACATTTTACTCAAACCCACACAAAAGCTACTCTCGAATAGATTACCTATTCATATCTCAGCAACAATGCATAAAGCAGTAACATGTAACATAGAAAACATAACTATAAGTGACCATGCGCCTAATGTATTATCTTAAAAAGGCAAAACATAAATTAGAGCAGAAGGTTCTCTTTGCTTTATGAATCAAAGATATTATGAAATGGGCAACAGGGCGAGTCGCCTTCTGGCATTACAACTTAGGAAAGCCCAAATAAATAGACACGTCTCCAAAATAAAACACCCCTCAACTATGCAGACTAAAACACAACCCAAAGAAATAGCTGAGGCATTCGCAGACTACTATAAAAAACTATATGATGATACAGACAGAAATACTCAGGAAGATGTAACATCCTCCTTTCTCAAAAAGATTAATCTCCCAACCTTGTCAGAAGAAGAGTCGCGGGAAATGACCCGACCTATATCTTCACAGGAAATTATGAAGGTTATTAAAAACCTCAAAAACAACAAATCCCCGGGGACAGATGGACTGCCAGGGGAATTTTACAAAACATTTAGGGAAGAACTAACGCCAGTTTTATGTAAGGTATTCAACTATGCATTGACGGAGGGGGATCCCCCTAACTCATGGTCTGAAGCCATTATAATCGGTAATTCATAAGGAAGGTAAAGACCCAACTATATGTGAAGGATACAGACCCGTGAGCTTATTGTGCAACGACCTAAAAATACTAACAAGTATAATGGCAGAAAGAATGCAAAAATATATAGCTAAATTGATTAACCCAGACCAAACGGGTTTTATTCCGGGGAGGCAGGGAGCAAATAACATTAGAAGAATACTAAATGTAATGTCATATACAACATTTAAATCACAATCCTCCCTTTTGATTAGTTTGGATGCCCAAAAGGCTTTTGACAGGGTAAAATTGAGTTTTCTATACCAGACATTATTGAAATTTGGATTTTCACAGCAATTTGTTGAATGGGTGAAAGTAATCTATAAAAGTCCAAAATCTCGAATCCGACTTAATGGGCACTGCTCAGAATTTTTTGATCTCAAGAGAGGAGTTAGACAGGGGGACTGTCTAAGCCCGCTACTATTCGCAGTTAATATTGAACCGATGGCAGAAGCAATAAGACAGAACAAACAAATCCAGGGAATAAGAGACGAGGGAAGGGTGGAACATAAGATATCACTGTTTGCCGACAATCTATTAGTACTCTTAACTGAACCACTCCAGTCAGTACCGGCCCTACTAGAGAGCCTTAAAGAATATGGGAATATCTCTGGGTATGCGAGTAACGAAAGTAAATCGGTAGCAATGATGTTATCAGGGGAATGCCTAACACAGCTAAAAGAATTAGTAAAGTACAAATGGACCAATAAAGGATTTAGATACTTGGGTATAATTATCACACCTCTAACTCCACAATTATTCAATGCAAATTACGAGAAGCTGAAGAAGGAAATTAGAAAAGACCTAGAAAGATGGGAGATCCTACCACTGACCCTCGGGGGCAGGGTAGAAACAGTCAGAATGAATGTCTTACCAAGACTACTGTTTGTATTCCAGTCACTCCCAATCTCCATTCCTAACTCCTTTTTTAAAGATTTGGATAAAAGAATATCAAGGTTTATATGGCAAAATAGAAAGGCAAGAATTAAACGTAAAATACCTCAGTCCTCAAAGAGTAATGGAGGGTTAGGTTTACCTGAATTAAAGAATTACTATTGGGCTGCCCAACTGAGAGCCATAGCACTATGGTTAACAAAGGATCAAGAGACAATAGATATGGAGCAAAGAGCCTGTCCAAACCTGTCCTTAGATACACTGCCCTTTACAACAAGGAGAGTTCAAAGAAATCTCAAAATTCAAAATTACTGGATTATGGAAACGATTAACATTTGGTCAAGAATAAAAAAGAAATTTAAGCTTCCTGAATCTATATAAAAAATTGTAAAAATAGCGAAGATCCCAGATTTTACCCCAGCCACTATGGATAAAGGGTTTGAGAGATGGACAAATGGAGGACTGGTATTTATAGCACAGCTTTTTAATGGACCGACAATGAAATCTTTTGAACAAATCCAACAGGAATTTATTCTACAAAAAAGCGATTTTTACAGATACTTACAACTTAGACATTATCTCCAGAGTCATAGTGAATGGCAAAAAATCTCAACAGATATGACCGGACCGGATAAGACTGAAGAAATTTTATTATCAATAGCAAAAGGTGAATCAACAAAAGGCTTAATCTCAAAACTATACAAAAGCCTGCAATATGAATCCAATGCTAATAATAAGGAAACTAAGGAGAAATGGGAACTGGAGGCTAATATGATAATAGCAGATGAAGAGTGAGAAGAAACATTTAGATCTGGACACAAATTAACTAACAGCCCGACATGGAGGGAATTTGAATCGAAGGTTAAGATGCGTTATTTTAACACTCCAGTTATCACATCTAACCATGGTAAAACATCTAGGCTTTGTTGGAGAAATTGTGGAAAGGTGGGGGATTTTACTCATATATTCTGGGACAGTCCGAAGGTGGTCGAGTTTTGGAAAGAGGTGCAAACAGATATAAAGAATATTTTAGGTATTTATTTAGATCTGGATGCTTCTGTCTATATTTTAGGAATAATTACCTCGGACATGATCGACAAAAACAATAAATACTTGATCAAAGTCTTGCTTCTGATTGCAAAAAAATGTATAACATACGCTTGGTTGAGGCCACAGCCTCCCAGTATTACACAGTGGAGAGAGAGAATTATAAAAGTCTATATTATGGAAAAAACTACATCAAGACTGCAACTCAAGATAGAGATCTTTGAAACAAAGTGGAGACCTATAACTAATTTCATACTGTAACCTTGACACCTCTATTTATCTGTTTGTGTTTCTTTCAAATGTATTTTGTATAAATTTCTTTCTTTTTTTTTTCTTTTCTTTTTGTGTACTTTTACTGCTTTAGTTTGTATTCTCATTATGTTTATTGACGTCCCTGTCACAGTAATTATTGTATTATATATATCCGTGGATGTTGATGAATATAAGTGCCTTTTAACGGATCCAATGTCTATCTGAGGGAGGTGCTTCTCGACTGGACTGTTCCTTCATCAACACTCCCTGGATGACTTTTGGCAGAGCTGGACTTGTACGACCAGCTTCCTTGGTGTGGGTTGAATGTCCGGAATGATCTACATAAATAAGATTTGAATTGTGACAGGGGTGGACATGTGTATGTGTTGATATAAAACAGTTACTGAAAATGAAAATAAAAAGTAAAAAAAAAAAAAAAAATTATAACAAGCATATTTTTATAGCTACGCACACATTGTATTGCATTTTATTTGCAAGAAGTTTAGTGGTTGCGCTTACAATTCAAAAATTGAAATGACACCAGTCATGCAATCCTTGAATATTGTTTCAGGGCAGTTTTTTGGTCTCAGTTATTTTGTTGGTCAAATATTCTTTTGCAAGACTGAAAATGCTGAGCTCTGAAAAAATGCATCACTTGGTTAATATTTGACACAACAACAAGACACTGTTTTAGTTAAATTGTACTGTGGCATATTGTGGAGATGCATTAAAAAAAGAGTGATCAAGATCTGGTGTTAGTTCTATGTTGCAACGTTTTTGCATGTTCATTATATATGATAGTGCTAATATTATATCTTTGTGAAAGTGGATTTCCCTTACTCACCTACCTGAAAAACAAGTACAGGTCAAGACTGTAGCCTTAGGCTGATATGACTTTGCCTGACAACCTCCATACGTCCAAGGTTAGACAAGTTGTGTTCTAATCATTACGGTCCGACATCTCATTAATGTGGGAGTATGTATGCCATCCATAGATGGTTTGAGGATTCACTGCCCATACTACATGTATGTTTAAAGTT